GGCAGTAGAAGAGATCTTTCTTCAGTAATGTAATGTTGCTTTACTCTGTCCTGATTATGTACTTTTTTAGCCATAATGACAAATGCTATTTTAAAAACTGTTCACTAACTGATATGAGAAATCACCTTCTGAAGATCCAGTCCTATCCCACACCTTGCAGTGTTTCTTATATGCTAATGTAAAATGTTGGGGGTGGCAACAGCAGGGAGGAGAGAAAAGACATTTATTACATGAAGAAACAGCACATATTGATTTTTCTTTCCATTGCAGAGACAGGTAATACAATTTCATTGCCTATTCAATATGAAAATAGTACTTAATGGAGTTATGGTTTATGATTTGGCCACCGTGTCAGACTTCCTTTCCAACAACCTCCTCTTCATCTCAGATTCTACCCCAGGACTCTAGGTCACTGGATAGCTAGATCTCCCCATTTAGGACCAAGTGCAATTGGTCCTGCAGAACAGGAGATGGAGCATATGAAAGAAAGCAATGAGCAAGGGGCCACTCTTTATAAGGTATTCACCTACAGTGACAGTGGCTGAAGAATACTGGAGATACACGCCCACAGGGGCTTTCCCTCAATAGCACAAAAGAAAAGGCCACTCTGCCCCCAGAAGATGTGTCTAACAGTCCAAAGGTCATGGCAATTTGAGGATTTATTACTTGTGGCAGAGTTTCTTCCAGGCAATATGTAGTCTCAAAAAGAAGGTGCTAGGTTTATTGTTCACTTCTTGAGTTATTTCCTTAAAACCAGTTGTGAACGCTGCTGCAGATAATGCTCCATAGGTCTCTCATTTTCTGCATTTCTTGTAAGCAGAAGCACTGACATCTTTTGTTCCAGCCTGTCTGTGCAAGGATATCTGTACAATGAACAACATGGGAGATAGAGAGAGTATCTCTCTCTAGAGTAGTGGGACAGCAAGCTGGTTGCCCAGTATGAAACTTTCAGGTCCCCTCGGTGCTCAGAATCCCTCAGAATTCCCCCAAAGACTTCTGTCCTGTGTTACAAATGAACTGCACAAGCGGCTGTCACCTGGCTCTCTCAGGTCACTCAGTAAAGAATGAGGGCTTTGCGGGGACCAAATACACTGATGCTTATGCTGCTCACTGAGTTGTGAATAATGAAATCCCCTGTCTCTGACCTAAGTCTCTCTTGCTGACCTGGCCTTGAAATGACCAGTAAAAACAACAGTATTTGTGGTGTTAGTCACACTTCCCTGCTACAGAGATGAGTACTGAGTTTTATTGTGGATCATTCCTGTTGCCAGCTCAATGAGCTGGTCTTCAATATTACTGAGCTAACGAGTGAAAAAACGAATTAAAAGTATCTTTTCCAAAACTTTAGTTCAATGCTGAAACAATGCTAGAAAGTTATTTAATAATCTACATGTTTGTACAATTAGGTGAAAATGAATTTCATACGTTAATTATTCTGACAGATCTCAACCTCCTATAAAGCCCCCATCACCACCACCACACAAACACACATGTATTTCTGGGCAATCCCAAGGGATCTCTCTC